GCAGCGCAGCCTCCCGCCGTGAGTAGCGCGGCCCGCGGGCCCGACGGGCGGGACGGGGCGCGTGGACAGCTGTGGCTGGGGGACCCGCGGGGCTGAACGCGGGGCGCCCTGTCCCCGAGACCGCTCCTCCTCTGCGCGCGGCGGCCCCAGGCGCCCCCCAGCTTGGCACTTTGACCCCGAGCCGGGGTGCGGCGGCGACGGAGGTGGGAGCCAGACCTCCCCGCAGGAGGCGCCCTCCGAGGGACGCGTTTCCGCAAGCAGGGTGGCCTCGGCTCTGCGCTGTCCGGGCCTTGCCCGGCAGGTGATAGGCAGGCTGGGGCGCGGTGGGTCCCTTCGGGCTGGGGCTGGGGCTTAGAAGGGCGTCGTGATGGCCCCGAAGGGGGTGTGCGTCGTCCCGGCGGGGCCGGGGGCAGGGGTTAGGGGTGCATTTTTTGATGCACGTAGGTCTGGCGGACCCCGCTGTAACTCGGTAACTTGCAAACGAGGCTCTCAGCCCAGGGGCGAGCGCCTGTGAGGCCGCGCAGGCAGGGCCAGGAGAGGGCTGTGCCCGGGCACAGGCACCCGCCCTCCAGAGCCTTGTGGAGGCAGCGGAGGCTGCGGCGCTGCTCGGTGACCCGTGCGCTGCTGCCTCGCGCAGGTGTTGCCAGGGTGTCCTGTTCTCCGAAGGGGCTGGTGCTCTGGCCGCTTCTCTTTCCTCTGTTCCCCCAATAATGAATCTTAGCCTGGGCAAAGGCACCCCAGTTATCAGTGGGGTTATGGACCCCACTGATAACCCAGCAGCTTCCTGGGGATCTCAGGCGGGGCGATGTGGGGGCACTATCCTGTCCTGAGCCAGTCGTTATAGCCTCCCCATTGGGGAGATGTGAGTGAACACAGAAGAGCTGGCTTTTTTTCCTGTCAGGTCGCCTGCTCCTTAGCCCCAGCTGTTCATCAGAGATCCTAGGGAGATAGCTCAATAGAATAAGTGCCTGCCTGGCAAGGGCAAGGTCCTGAGTTCAATCCCAGGTACTTCCCCCCCCCCCCAAAAAAAAGAGATCCTGCTGAGCTGACCCTGAGGCTGTGAGCTGGGCCTGCGGGAGTGGTGTCCCCTGGGGCTGCCTTGATGATCCCTAGGCAGGGGTGTGTCCCAGACACTAATTTACCACTGGCCTCTGCCCTGCTGACCCTGGGAGAGGTAGGCTAGGAACTTGGGAGTTGCCCTGCAGAATGAGCTGTGGCCTTCTGGGATAGAGTGCTTGGTGGCCGTGGGGGTGGCTTCCCGGCCCTGACGTTCCTTCTAAGAAGTCCCCCAGGAAAGAAATGACTTCCCAAGCCCAGGCCAACCATGAGGGGCTCGGGTGTCTGTCAGTGAAGCCTTGCCCCTGTCTGGACCTCAGTTTCCTCTTTTTGCCAGATCAGTGAGCTACCTCTAGCAGCTGTGGTTTCCAGTGTTTGTTTCGCTGTGAGTTCTCACCCAGCGTGTACAGAGTGGCTGGGGTGTTGAGACAGCAGATCTGGAGCTGATGGCCTGCTCCTCTCACAGGGTCACAGGTGCATCGTTCCGGCTCCCAGGAGGATTTGGCTTTTCAGGGCCTGTGGGGGGACTCTGTCTGGTTCCTTCTCTGGATCCTGGTTGGGTACTAGTTCCACCCTAGAGTTTCTCCTTTTGACTGATCCAGTAGAAATTGATGGGGTGGGGGGAGGAGGGGGGAAGGAGATTGTTAAGAAAGAGCTTCCAGCTGTTGAAAGGAGGCTGAATGCTAACTATAAATCAGCCAGTACTTACAGACATGGCTCTGTGCCACCTGCTACAAGGGGACAGTAGTGAGAATGTGAGAGTCGTCCTCATGGTGTCCGGAGATGACAGGCAGGAGGGAAGGAACTCATGTTGACTGGAATGGTCCAATGTGGTGGTCAGCTTTTCGTCACTGTGACAAAGTACCTGAGTTGACCACCTTCAGGGAGGAAAGATCCATTTTGGCTCATGGTTTTGGACCAGTCCATGGGGCTCAATCCATGGCTCCTGCGCTCCACTGCTGCCGGGCCTGTGGTGCCATGGAACATCGTGGAGGAGTCAGAAGTAGAGAGTCTGAGAGGAAGGGGCAGGACAGGGTGTACCCTTCCCCACGGACTGACCCCCCGCCTCCACGTAGGTTCCCCCAGTCCCCAACCCTCCTTCAGCTGTGACTTCATCAGACCATGAAGAGAGTGCTTCAGTCACCTCACAACGGCCCCACCTCTGGAGCCCTTGAGGGACTTCTTTGTGGCAGTGCTGATTGAACCCAATGCCTTCCCACTGGGCTGAATCCCCAGCCCATTTTTTTTTTAATTGTTTGTTTTGAGACAGTCTCAATAAACACTTAATTGGCCAGGGTCGACTCAAACTTGTGATCCTCCTGCCTCAGCCTCTAAGAGTGCTAGGATTATAAGTGTGTGCCATCATACCCAGCTTGAGGACTTTTTTTTTTTTTTGTATTTAGTACAGGATCTACAGGATCTACAGGGTCTCATTACATAGATCAGACTCAGTGATTCACCTGTTTTCAGCCTCCCAAGTGCTGGGATTATAGGTGTGTACCGCCATGCCCAGTCTCAATCACTGACTCAGCTCGCCCCGGGGGGTAGCTGCCACCCGCCGGCATGACATGGAGCACTGGGGATCCCCGGCCGTTGCTCTCTGCATAAGCAGGTGCTTCAGTTCGCTGAGTTATCTGGCCAGCCCAAGGACATTTTAAATCCAAACCACAACATCTAGGAACCATTTAAACATTTTATGTTATTTTCTGTGACCCGTAAGGTAGATATTGGTCTAATTTTTAAATTATATAGATTGTATACAAAATAAATGTACAGCCCATATATCCAGGATACAGCCAGTCTGATTAGGAAACAAATTTCCCAGAACCTAGAAGCCTCATGTGTCCCTTTCCCAGTCACCACCCCTCACCAGTGGGCACCACAGGTCTGACTCCTCTGAATCCAGAGCCCCTTCCAGTGACAAGTGGAGCTGGCTTCTCACCAAATGGAAGACCTTAGTTGCTCCTGCATATCTGCCTCCAGCATTGTTTTGGAGTTTTCTGCTTATCTTTGCCAGTAGCTGTGTAAAATTAGTATACCTGACCCCAGTGGGATCTCCAGAATTTTTCAGCAAAAAGATGGCAGACAGTGACCTCCTAATAACAGAAGTAGCTTTGCCAGGATGGTAGGTGAGGGTAGGTCTGGCTTCTGGTCCTGGTCAAGTCTACCCTGTCAGAGGTACCCCAAAACTATCCCCTGAGAAAGGAACTTAATTTGTTTCCTTAATGGTGTGGGAAGCAGAGACCTGAACAATGGGTTGGATGAGTCAAACAATGATCACGCGCCTTCTGTGTGGGGTGGTTTGTGGCCTTCCCACAGTGGAACCCCCTTGGAAGCAGGAGTGAACAGCTGAGGTGGAGAGTGTCATCCCTGTTGACAGAGGACAGAGGCCCAGAGAGGGGTGCCACCCTGCTCCAGGCCACAGTGAGGCTGCTGGGCTGGCCTTTTCCAGTGTCCCATATGTGCTCCGGCCAGTGGAGACCAAGCCAGGAGGTGGGTGCATGACGGACCATGGGCACCAAGACTGGCAGGTGGCCCTGAGCGTGAGGTGGCCCTGGCTCCAGGCCCGTTCTCTGCCTTGGGGGATCTTTGGGAATGTGTGTTGCTCTGCAGAAGGGAGAGAAAGTGGCAGAGCCTGGTTTGTGGGGGACCTAGGTGGAGGGAGGGAGGAACTGTGTTTGTTCCTTAAGAGTTCAACTAGGTAGGCAATGGCCTTGTATCCTTATGGGGTGGCGCCTCTGGCGGGCCTGGTGAAAACAGAAGTCTTCTGTGGTTCCTGGGGCCTGGGCACAGCTGAAATCTGGTTGGCAGGCCGAGGAGCTGCCCACAGCAGCCAGGTGGGCCCTGAAAGGTCTTTATGAAGTAATGCCCCCAGGAAGCTACTGCTGTGGGACATGGCTGTCCCCTTTCCCTGAGGTGCCCAGGCCAGCAGAGCCAACTCGATCCCACAGTGGTGGAGACCTCAGCCCTCTGCCAAGCCATGAGTTTGCAGAGAGCATTGTAGGCAGAGGAGGAAGCGGCCCCACAGGCTCCCAACTCCTGGCAGCCTGTTGAAGTTATTGTCACACTGTTCCCACCCATCATAGATGATGAGAGAGCTTTTGCTAATCTGTTCAGACCGGCACTCCCAGAGGGGGTTGAGGTCATGATAATCCCTTGCTTTTCTCAGCATTTAATCATTTACAAAACAATCTCAGGACCTGGGCTTGACTTTTCCAGCATTAGCTCCATTGTACAGATGAAGATGTTGAGACCGGCAGCTTAACTGTCTCACCCATGCAAAGCTGGGACTCGAACCTGGGACTCCTAACTCAAAAAGCAGTGCTTTTATTACTGAACCACAGCCACCTCTGTTCCCAGGACTCTGAATTATATGGAAGCAAATAGCTGAACTTCTGCAGACAGATCTGAAGATGCAGACAGCTCTTCTTTCTTTCTCCTTCATAAATTTGATTTGTGCTCAGATTTCAATTGAGAGCTGGGGGTGATGATGCATACTAGGAATCTCGAATACTCAGGAGGCTGAGGCAGGAGGATCATAAGTTCACAGTCAGCCTGGACAGTGAGACCCTGTGTCAAAATAAATATTTATTTATTTTTATGTATTTAGTACAGGGTCTACAGGGTCTTACAGGGTCTCACTATATAGATTGGACTCATAGTGATCCTCCTGTTTTCAGCCTCCCAAGCACTGGGATTACAGGCATGTGCCACCGCGTCCAGTCTCAATTGCCATCTCAGTGAGCCCTGGGGGCAGGGCCAGCATGGCACACCAGGGATTGAACCCCCACCGCTGTGCTCTGCCTAAGCATGCGCTTTAGTCTGCTGAGCTATCTGACTATCCCTTCAAAATAAAAAATTTAAAAAAGGGCTGGAGATGTAGTTTGGTGGTAGAGTGCCTGTGTAGTAATACAAGGCCCTGGATTAAATTCCTAGCACTGAAAATACAAATGGCAGATTGAATCAAATAAGCACTGAGCACCACTGGTCACAGACAAGAGGGAGCCTGAATAGGGTGGCTCTTGTGGAAGGAACCAGGCCTGGGACAGTGGTGAAATTATTATTATTATTTTTTTTGTTTGTTTGTTTTTGTATTTTTTTTATTTTTCAACAAATAATACACTGCATATATTCTTCTTAGTGGTTAATTGCTGTACAAGATGCGGACTTGTGATCCTATTTGCAAACACCATTAGAACAAATCATTCCATTCATTAACAGAATGCAACTATATATCTACCCCAACCACTTTGAATACACAGATACAAAATGGACATTCATAGGTATACCCCATTCTTCCTAAGTTCCGTTATTGAATATTATAGGTGTGTAAACTCAGCAAAATATTCTAAAAGAGTCCAGTAGCCCATAATAGCATTGGGTCTTCTGTTTAACTGGCAATGTCAGAAATTATTGACCTGAGTCCCCCACAGCTCAACTTAACAGCATGGCTTTATTTCTTATAATTTCGTCTTCATACTTTTCTGCTGGATGGTTAAGACCAAGGTAAAGCAGGACCTATGCAACAAGAGTTGTAGCTTTTTGGTCTGAGAAGGTCAGTGGTGGTGAAATTATTATTATTATTTATTTATTTCTTGGTGGAACCGGGGATTGAACTCAGGCCCTTGCGCTTGCCAGGGAAGCGCTTATTCCACTGAGCCATCTCCCCGGCCCCGGTGGTTGCAATTATTAACGACCTGTGGCCTATGGCTTCAGGCTCATGCTTGCTTTGTCTTTCTGAGACAGGGTTTCGCTATGCAGTTCAGGCTGGCCTTCAATTTACTGTGTAGGCCAGGCTGGCCTCAAACTCGCAGCGGCACTCCTGCCTCGGCCCTTGGCGTGTTGGGATTACAGGTGTGCGCCGCCCCGCCTGGCTTGTGTTTGTTTCCCTGGTGTCCTGACATCAGTCTCTCCCCATTCCAGGGTTGGGTGGTTCAGGCCTCCATGAAGAGCCCAGCCATGGACTCGTTCAAGCAACAGAAGGTGGAGGACTTTTACGACATCGGAGAAGAGCTGGGAAGGTAGGAGGCCGAGTGGGCGGTGGAGGGCACAGATGGAGCTGGCGGTGCTTCTCTCGGTCGCCGTCATCCGGGGTTGCAAGGCGTGCACTTGTCGCGGGCCCACCGGCAGCTCTGAAAACAAGCCCTGGGTTTAGTCATTGTCGTGGGTGACCGCACAGTCATCGCTCTGGCAGTGAGGTAGAAGGGGCAAGAACCATTGAGATCTGTGTTTTCAGCATAGCCCGATTGGGGGCTGTGCAAATCTTCATGCTTCTTTTATGTCTTTCAATCTGTCTGTCTGTCTGTCTGTCTGTCTGTCTGTCTGTCTGTCTGTCTTTCTTTTTTTTTTTGAAATAGGGTCTGGCTATGTTGTTCAGGCTGGTCTTGGACTCACTCTGTATATAGCCCAGGCTGACCTTAAACTAGTAGCCGTCCTCCTGCCTCAGCCTCCCAAGTGCTGATCACAGATGTGCACCACCACAGCTGGCCAGGCCTCCTTCTAATAACTACTTATTTGTAAACGGTGTTTGTTTGTTTTGGTACTGGGAATGGAACTCAGTGGCCTTTCCCTTGCCGGGCAGATGCTGTGCTACTTAGCTATATCCTCGGCCCTGTAAATGGTGTTTAGTGCATATAAAAAACCCTAATGCTGAAGTGCGATTCTCAAACAGTATGTGAACTAGGGATTCTTCTCACTCTGGTTTTCCGGAGGAGGCTGTGGCCCACAGTGTAAGCAAGTTGCCCGAAACTGCTGAGGTGGCAAGCGATGGGGCTGAGGCTCCGGGCACCGCCCAGGAGCATGGCCCTTGCGCTCCCGTGTGCTCACCCACACCTGGCACATGCTGGCAGTTGAGGTCTGCAGTGTGGAACAGGCCAAGCGCGAGGCCCATTCCCTTCAGAGCATGCTGGGCCAGGACTCATTCTCTTCCTTTTTTTGTATTTAAAGACAGAAAGGTCTTCCAAGCCAGATGCACCTTGTGCCAAAGAAAGTGGGAGGTGGCAGGTGCGGTGGTTCAGGGAGTGTCCTCCTGGCCTGTTCAGTGGGGACTTTGACTGGGGACTTTGACTGTAGCCCTGGGGCCTGCACAGGGATGCCAGGAAGGCAGGGGCCAACGGCTGGGTGCAGCTCAGGACCCTCTGCTTTCTGGAGGTGGTGTCCTCAGCAGCAGCAGCAGCAGCAGCAGCAGCAGCAGCAGCAGCAGCAGCAGCAGCAGCAGCACATCTGGGCAGGGCCTGCCCCTGGCCTTTGGTTCGGTGCCTCTCATTGGCCATGTGCCGAATGTAGGCTCTGTGCTAAGTTCACAGATGTGTGAGACGCAGTGTGCCCTGCCGGAGCTCAGCTGCCCCAGGACTGCTGTATGTGCAGCAGCAGGGCAGAGGTGGCTTGGACTCGGGGTAGAGGAAAGAAGAGAGGAGTGGGGCGGGGCTCTGGAAAAGGAAGAAGAGGCGGTGTCCTGGGGAGTTCGTGAGGTGCTCCTTCGTGGTCCTTTCTCTCCCATACTTAGTGAAGGGTGTGAGATGTTAGCACCAGAAGACAGCTGCTGTGTTCTGGTTCTCCCTGCCAGCGGGTGGCGAGACTCCCTGCACCTCCCAGCCTGGGGTCCCCTGTCTCTGCCCTTGTCTCAGGTGCCTACCAGAGCTAGTGTGGTGGTACACGCTGTAATCCTAGCCCTCGGGAGGCTGAGGCAGGAGGATTGCTGTGAGTGTGAAGCAGGCCTGGGCTGTACACCGAGTTCAAGTCCAGCCTGAACTACTTAGCAAGATCCTGTCCCAACACACCAAACACAGACAGTGCTAATGAGGCTAAAGGTGGGTAAGACACAGCCGGGGGCTGGGGACCTGAACGCTTCGGACAGGCCAGGTAGGGGTACAGGACTTGTGGTCTGGAGGTCAGGGAAGCTGACCACTGGGGAAACTAAGGCTTAGCGTGGGCAAGGGGAAGTCATAGAACAACTGGAATGGCAGCTGCCTTCAGGCCAACCAGTCAGCCAGTGCGGGGATAGCCTCATCCTTCTCTCCTCCCCGCTACTACTTCTCTTCCTCTTCCTCTTCCTCTTCCTTCTCCTCCTCCTCCTCTTCCTCCTCTTCCTCTTCCTCCTTCCTCCTCCTCCTTTTTAAATTTTTATTTATTTATTTGTATTTTAGGGAAGGGTCTACAGGGTGTTCAAGGTCTCACTACTAGATTGGACTCATAGTGATCTGCTTGTTTGTAGCCTTTCAACAGCTGGGATTACAGGCACGTCACCATGCCCAGTCTCAATTGCCATCTCAGCACACCCTGGGGGATCGAACCCTCAGCCCCTGTGCCTGCTTGCAGGTGCTTTAGTCTGCTGAACTATCTGGCTGGCTCTTCCTTCTTTTTAGAAATGTATTTGGTACAGGGTCTCACCATGCAGCTCAGACTCATAGTGATCTTCCTGTTTTCAGCCTCCCTAGTGCTGGGATTACGGGCATGCACCACCATACCCAGTCTCAGTGGCCAGTCTCAGTGGCCAGCTCAGTGCGCCCAGGTGCGGGGCCAGTGCGGCATGTGGCGGCGGGGATCTAACCCCAGTCCCGGCGTTGCACTTGCTTAAGCAGGCATTTAGTCTGCTGAACTATCTGGCCGGTCCTCTCCTCCCCACTTCTTCACTGAACACAGCAGAGATCTGCTGTGTGCCAGACACTGCCCAAGGCAGCGATGAACGACATTGATCATTTCTGTCCTTTCATGCACCGGATGCCCTATTGGTGGAGACAGCTACTACACAAGTGAACACAGAAGGGTGACTAGGGTGTGTGAAAGGCTAATTTGATTCCTTCTGGTTTGTTTTTTTTTTTTTTTTTTTTTTTCTCTTCTCTTTTGGGAGCCAAGTTCTCACTAATTTACTTAGGCAGGGCTTGAACCTGCATCAGCCCCTGAGGCCCTGGGGTGACAGCCCTGCATTGTATGTCCAGCAAGGTTGTTAATAAGGAAACTATAGGGTAACTGCATTAGCATGGGGTGGCTCCAAAGCAGGGAGTGCCTGGATTTGATGTGTTTGCAGGAGGCTAGGGTGACTTTAAAATGGAGCCAAAGCTGGGCCTGATGGCACATGCCTATAATCCCAGCACTGAAGAGGCTGAGGCAGGAGGATCATTGTGAGTTCAAGACCAGTCTGGGCTACAAAGTAAGCTCAAGTCCAGCCTGAACTGTGTGGCGAGACCCTGTCTCCAAACAAACAAAAAGCGAAAAAGAAATGGAGCCAAGACCAACAGTGCTGGAGACGTAGGTGGGGGCCGAGTCGGTTGTCAAACTCCCTGCCAACGCGGAGATGAAGAGTTTGGCCTTGAGGGTTACAAGTCCTGCGGGCGGGGCCCTCTTGCTTGCTGGACAACTTTGGAGAAGCTTGCTCAACCTCTGAGCTTCAGCTTTCTGATCTATAAAACGGGGCTGATGATCCAGCCATCTCATGGTCGTGGGATGAGGTGTCGCCTTTGGTCTGGTGATGGAGTTGCCCTTGAAGCCAGCTACTTCTGGAATTCAGGTAGTGCTCCCGTCTCTGCACCCCCAGGAGGAAGGTGTCAGGCTGCAGGAAGCATGCACGGGGGCAACTGAGTCTCTGGGGTCTGTCTGTGAACGCACTTGCTTTGCGTGAGTACCCTAGCGCCCCACACCCTCCCCACCTCGCCAGAGGCATCTTGCCAGTGCTCCCTGTTGAGTCCGCGCTATGCAAATGTGCCAGTGGGTGGCAGCCAGCCACCCTGGACACTGGGTGACACTCACAAGAGGAATCCGTGGTGTTGGAGGTCAGAGTCGTGGCCGTGCTCAGGGGACTAGAGGCTGGAAGATGGTGTGGAGGGGATTTCTGGGGTGCAGGTATTATTCTGTTTCTTGATCTAGGGTGCTGGTTTCACAGAGGTGCTCCTGAATGCCCATCATGACATCCATGCATGAGGACGTTTTCCTGCGTGTCAGCCAACCCAAGCAGAGTGCTCACGGGAGCCTTCAACTCCATCCTTGTGGTTGGTTGCCAAATCATGGTTCTGGTTCTCTTGGAGGCCTTGTCTTCCTTGTCCTAGAAGGAAGACAGAAAATCTCAGCAGGAAATTCTTGGTTTGCAGCAGCATTCCTGGCCAGCATGGCCTGTGTTCTGCTGGTTGCCCACCCGGTCTTGTGTCTCTCGCTGATTGCTGAGTGTGAGGAGTCCTGGCTGTGCTCCCAACTTGGCACGAGCCTGCTTGCAATGCTTGGGCTTGCTGTTTTCGGCACTCTTTGCAGAAGGTGGGCCTGCAGAATTTTGGCCTCTCACAGCCTCAGTACGCACCTGTAGAGCAGAAGAATCCCGGATGTGGGCTCATAAACGGAAGCCCATTCAACTCTCATTTTGTAGACAGGATCAAGATTGTCTAGTGTCACAGGGTAAACCGGTGACTGAACCACGGTGGGCAGTGGAAGGTGTAGGTGTTATGCAATAAGGAGCACAAGACACAAAATCATTTTTTCTTTAATTTCAATGCTTTAGGAGACTAGAGGAGGCTGTAAAATAGATTTGGCCTTTCTGTTCAATGTGAGGGTAGAGTAGCAGGAGCAGTGTTAGGAGAGTGAATATTCTGAAAGCTGTGACATTCCCCAGGAGGAGGTGCTGGTAGACAGGCCCAGGGATGGTTTTGGGGGCCTCTCTAGAGGTCTACTGTAGCCCTAAGGAGATAAAGAAATTTAATATAAGCAGCATGTGTTGATCAGCGATTTCTTGTTTCCAATTCTTCAGTTATTTTTCTTTACTTACAGTTCTTCTACTCGTGTTATGATACTAATGTAAAATCTTAAATTGTCCCAGCTAAGCTGCATCTTAGTAAAAACTCAACTCAAATCCCCCTTTTATAGACAGGCAGAGGGAACTGGAGAGGGCAGGTGATTTGTTCAGAGTCAAAGAGCAAGTGCCAGAGGAGGTAGAATTCTAATAAGGCAGAACCTTCTCAGCCACCTTGCATTGGTTTGGACAAACACACACAAACGCTCATCTCGCATCTCTTGTGGGGTGTACAGCGCAGACCCAGCC